ATTCCAGAAATAGACAATTCCTATGTTTTCAGTTGTGTGCCTTTCTGAGTAGGATGCTGAAATCTTGCACTGTCCCATTCCTTCCCGCTTGGGACATGAATCATCCCTTTGTCCAGCATCTCCATACTGTACGTACAACACACTAAGATATCTTGAGATAGAGACCACATCATGTAAGTTTTATTACAATATATTGTTATAATTGTTCTATTTTATTAGTTATTGTTATTAATCTTACTGTGCCTAAGTTATAAATTAAACTTTATGCAGAGGAAAAAACATTATAGAATTCAGTATTATCTACAGTTTCAGGCATCCACTCAGGGTCTTGGAACGTATCTCCCCTCACATAAGGGGGAACTATTGTACTCCCAGTTAAATTTAAATTTCAGAAAAACTATCACTTTAGTAACAGTATGTCCCATGTAATATTTAGAACACACTTATACTAAACGATGATTTGTTTTTTATCTGAAATTCAAATATAACTAGAAGTCCTCTGTTTTATCTGGCAATACTAATTGTGACATTAGCTTTCCAACATAAAGTACATATTGTAAAATAAAACATCAAGGGATGGCTGAGAGAAAATGTGCCCTGATCCCAGAAACCCCTGAATCCTCCCTCAGTAGCTGGCGGCTCCTTTACTTCACACTGCATCACAGCAAATGTGCTACTACTGCCCCTCCTGGAGAAAAGCCACATAGACTACAAAGCCCTCCTGTTCTAAACACAGGATTGAAAATTATCCAGATACTATTCCCTTCCCAATTTCATACTTAAAATAACTATCCACTCCAAGAAAGATGACAATAATAATAATTAAACAGATAGTCAGGAAGCATTTTCTAGAAATAATTTTGGGTCTCTAGTATAATAACACTGTAAAACAAACAACCAAGACATCTGAGAAATATCTGTAACATGATAAAGATGGAGATAAAAAACGTAAGGAGCCCTGGCCAATGTGGCTCAGTTGGTTGAGGGTTGTCCCATGCACTGAAGGGTCACCAGTTAGATTCCTGGTCAGGGCACATACCTAGGTTGCAGGTTCAATCCCCAGTAGATCTCTCTCTTTCTCTATCTCTCCCCCCCCCCCCGCCTCCCTCCCTCCCTCCCTCCCTTCCTGTCTCTCTAAAGAAAAAAAAAAAAAAGGCAATTTTGGAGAAAATGCATTATTCAAAAAGAACATCAATAAATGATTATTAATATCCTCAGGGATATAAGTTGCAACAACAACAAACAAAAGCACAATCCCATAAAGGAACACAGAAAAAATTGTAATAAATTAAAAATATGATAGAAGAAATGTAAAATTCAATAGTTGGAAGATAAAGGTGAGTAAATCCCCCACAAAGTACAGCAAAAAGGCAAAAAATAAAAAACAGAGAAAACATAAATCAAAAAACCAGTCTAAGAGGTCTATAACAGAAACAGCAGGAACTGTAGAAATAGTTAACAGAGATTAGGATGGTGGAGGGAGGAAATTAACAAACAAAAAAATCAAAAGAATTTCATAGGATTTAGGGGCATAAGTTTCCAGAATGAAACATGCCCAGCAAATAGAGAAGAACAGACCCACACCAAAGCTATACCTAAGGAAATTTCGGAACATAGGGGACAAAAATATCCTACAAGCTTCCAAAGAGAAAAATTGGGTTTTATACAAAGGATCATGAAAACACACTTTCAAATATGCAAGATGTAAAAAAAAGGAAGTTCCATGCACCCTTCCCCAGGAAGCTACTGAAGAACATGCTCTACCAAAATGAGGAAATAAAATAAGAAAGAGAAAAACAGGCTATAGAAAACAGGAAACTACCAGGATGAGTAGAAGACCCCAGAATGAAGGCACCAGTTCTCCAGTCAGAAGGCTCTAGGATAGACTTTTCCATTTGGAATTGATAAAATGTGTGTCTGAGCATCCTAAGAGAATATTTAAACAAATGATGGATGGTTTGAGGTCAAATTAATCTTAAGTACATAAGCAAACAAAAGCAGACAAATGATTAATTCCAGGGAAAAGCAAGTTGTTCAGGAAAGTTAAAGTAATCAGTTTACTACATGACTGAGCTCTGGTTAGCATTGACATTATCAACAAATTACCATATGCCCAGATTGAGAAGCTGGGGGATGAGGACTGAGATGTGTATAAGTTAGGGGCGGAGAAATAAACCTAAACTTTCATCCTCTATAACAGAAAATCAGTAGAAGTTACCTAAAATTAATAAATCAAGAAGCTATTTAAAAATATGGAGATAAATGTTTAAAACTCAATTGAGAGTGGTTGGTTGCATTTAAAGAATTAAAAATGGGAGTGGGAGCCGGGCCGGTGTGGTTCAGTGGTTTGAGCATCATCCCATGGACTGAGAGGTCCCGGTTCAATAACCGGTCATGGCACATGCCGGGGTTATAGGTTTGATCCCCAATAGGGGGCGTGCAGGAGGCAGCCAATCAATGTTTCTATCTCTCCCTTCACCTCTCTCTAAAAAATAAAAATATATATTAAAAAAATAAAAATAAAAATGGGAGTGGGAGCCTGGCCGGTATGGCTCAGTGGTTGAGCATCTCTCTCTAAAATCAATAAAACTATATGTTTAAAAAAGGGAGTGGAAACAGGAGAATGCTGTTTAAAATCATAACTTCCATAAATTTTTTTGATTCTTTAAACTCAACTTTTTAGAAAGATGAAAAACAAAAATTCCAGTCATCAACTATCCATCCTCTCCCTCTCCCTCCCTCTCACTCTAAAATCAATAAAGGAAATAACAATTTTTTTTTTAAATGCCAATTTAATCTCTATTCTTAAACTTTAAAATAAATCTGCATAGCCCTGGCCAATGTAGCTCAGTGGGATGGAGCATCATCCCATGCACCAGGAGGTGGTGAGTTCAATTCTTGATCAGGGCACATACTCAGGTTGTGGGTTCAGTCCCCAGTCAGGGTGCATGGGGGAGGCAACCAATCAGTGTTTCTCTCTCACATTCTCTCTCTTTAAAAATAAATTTTTTGTTTGTTTTTTTAATCCTTACCCGAGGATATTTTTCTACTTATTTTCAGGTTGAGAGAGAGGGAGAGAAAGGGACAGAGAGAGAGAAACATCAACATGAGAGGGACACATAGACTGCCTGCTGCATGACCCTGACCAGGGCCAGGGATGAACTGCAACCGAGGTACGTGCCCTTGGCTGGAATCGAACCCAGGACTCACTGTTGCGTGGGCCAATGCTCTACCACTGAGCCAAAATGGCCAGGGCAAAATCAATTTTTAAAAAAATCCAATACTTTAAAAAATGTATTAAAACTCTGCATACCTTTAACAGTATTACATCAACCAACTAAAGAAATATATATTTTTTAAAGATTGTGTCATTCTTTTTTTTTTTTCTTTATTGATTTTAGAGAGGAAGGGAGAGGGAGAGAGAGAGAGAAACACCGGTGAGAGAGACATCAATCGGCTGTCTCCTGCATGCCCCCCACCAGGGACTGGGCCCACAACCTGGGCATGTGCCCTGACCAGGAATCGAACCAGCATCCTCTTGGTGCATGGGTCAATGTTCACCCACTGAGCCACACTGGCCAGGCTAAAGAAATATTTTTAAAACCCTATTTTAAAAAGCATTTCAAAGAATTCCACACCAAGAATGTAGGAATAAGCACAACCCATCCCCAAGATATTTCACTGGGGCTTACTTGTCTATTCATATTGGTGTTTATATTTGGAACAATAGTGGCTTATTATAAAAAAGACATAGTTGTGCCCTGGCCGGTTTGGCTCAGCGGTTAGAGCATCAGCCCGTGGACCAGAGAGTCGCAGGTTTGATTCTGGCCATGGGCACGTACCTTGGTTGCAGTTCAGTACCCAGCCCTGGTCGGGGTCATGCATGAGGCAACCAATCGATGTGTCTCTCTCCCTCTTCCTCCTCCCCTCCCCCCTCCACCCTTCCTTCCTCCCACTCTATCTGGAGATAAATGGAAAAATGTCCTCGGGTGAGGATTAAAAAAAAAAAAAAAAAAGACATAGTTGTGTTTAACATGCCAGGTCTCGGTAACTTTATTCAAGATCTTGACAAAAATTATCCCCAAAGTAATATAAATTCAGATACTTTTTAAAAGTTCAGATGTGAAATTTCAAGAAAATTCTGAATTCAGTCTAGAGTCAACAGTAAGTCAAAACTGAACCAAATCCACAAATCATAAATACTACTTTCCTTCATAAGGTCATTATATTTTCTGAAACAGGTTACCAATTTAGTTTTCCTTTCTTTGATATTGGTATTTGGAATCAGTTTAATAAGGCTTACATCTTTAAGTTCTAAGTCTGTACTTATCCTGAAAATAAATATAAATCCAGAAGCGCTAACCCTTCCTTACAGAAGAACTCCAATCAGTAAATGTTGAATGGGAGAAATAGAAAATCACCATTAGAACACCACAGTAGTAACTGACACACAAGCAAGATTTGCAATGGATACAAAATGAGTGGGAAAAGGTTTAAGCAGAAACAGGACATTTGCATAGTCTCAAGGTAATATTTAGCAAATATTTAGTCATAACAAAAGAAAACAGCAATTTTTAGCAGAGACTCCTAACAGACACCACCTTAGGTAGTGATTAAGGTTGTCAACACCAGAAACACATTACAACATCAGGTGTCATTATATACTGTCACAGAGTGGAGGACACTAGAAACACATGACAACTAAAGGCAAGGTGGGATCCTGGATTGGATCTTTGAACAGTAAGTAAAACATACATTAGTGAAAACTCTAAGAAAATCTCTACTTTTTAAACTCTCTACTTTAGTTAATAGTATTGTATCAAGGCTAATTTCTTACTTTGACAAATGGTCTATGGTTATGTAAGATGTTAACAGAAGAGCAAGTTGCGTGAAGAATATACAGAAAATACTATTTTTACAACTCTTCAGGAGTCTAAAATTATCTGAAAAATAAAAAAATAACTTAAGCAGCATACACACACACGTATATATGTGCATAATGTGTGTGTGTGTATACGGAAATTGGTATCTTGGGCACTCAGTTAAATAGTGTTCTCTACTGAATTAGTCCTTGTCTCACTGGCTTATGTTAACTTTAAGGGTCTCCCCCTTATAAATTTTGTTTCAAGAACAGTTTTCAAATTTTCATAGAAAAGCCTTTTTAAAAATTCCTGTATTAGGCCAAAAATAAAAATCCTAGAATAAAATTATCAACACATTATCTCATAAAATCATGCATCCCAGCCATCATTTTTACTCCATTTCTTCTCTTAATCAATTATGTTTGTACTAGTTTTGTAATTTTTTTTAATAAAGAGAGGAGATGGCTGACAGATTTATTGTCACTAATGGGCCTGGCAGTCTAGAAAACAAAACAAAACATTATCACTTGGATATTTTATTAAGAAACAGCTGTTTTTCCAATAACAGATATTGTCTACTAGAAGTCACTTCAGGTGTAAAAAGTAAATTATTTACCTTAGTCTTTTCTATATGATAGCATAGAGCTACCCAAGCAAGCCCAGCTAAGACCCTTTCAACATCCCTTCCTTAAATTTGGCTCTAAAATGATTGTTATTAATGGTAATAAACATCTTTTTATAAAACAGGCAATACTTTCTATGCAATTTATTCTAGGGAAATAAAGATAAACATCAAATCTACTTTTAAAAGAAAAAACATATTTTCCACTCTAGCTATGGCTGATTCATTTCCTGAGCATGAATTCTTTTACCCTCATTGTTTTTTTACTATAAACTGAGCTGAAATCTGCTCATAGGGATCTTGACAGTGAAGCTAATATTTTAGATGGAGAATAGTATTTCCAAATAGTAGTATTTACTACTTTTACAGTTATTATTTCTACCCACTGTGGCATTTAATTTTTCATGTTACTTATAGCAATGCTCCATATGGAAGCAGCATCAGTGAAAAGATAATTGGGGGGGGGGGGGTGTTAAAGTAGATCTTTATCCAAAATACAATAAAAGAGCAAAAAAGAAAAATGGCTACAAATGTTTTCATTCCTATGCCCACTCCACTTCCAAATCGCCTTCCACTACTAACATGAAAAGTAGAAGTGGTAAAACTCTAATCTAATGATCTATACAAAAAAGAAGACAGTTTACCTTAGAAACTCACTACACACTGCAATATATTCAAGTGGTGAAAAGATAAAAATTCATTCAGAAATACTATACTATCTGGCTGTCAATATAGTTTCTTGAATAATTATATTAAACATATTACTACAAAATGTACCAAGAAGTAGAGAATAATACTATATTTTGTGAACTGCAAATAACAAAACAAAACAGAGGTCCAACAAGGCAAAAGTCCAAGCTGTAATTACACATGACGTGTATGTTGAAAGCAGTCACAATGTACAAAAATGTGACAAGTAATCCAGATGTTTTAAAAAACAGAACTTATTTGTCTCAGATTATATCCAGTCTCATCTGGCAGATTTCTGATAAGCCTGTTACATAAAGTGTATTTTCCCTCCTGCTGATAAGAAGCAGCTTGCAGATATCCATAAATTTCTTTAGGAGTCAGCCTACTTGACAATATTGATAACTCCATAGTCTCCTATTACATTCATTGGTCTGAAAACTGAAAACAACTCATAACAGAAATGTTTTTCCAAGTCCTTTACCAGTTTTTCAAGTTTTAAATCAAAGAAAAGTTGGAATGTATTGCTTCTTGTCATCAACAGATATTTCAAAAAGAGGGTAATTAACCAAAATCAAGAGTTTTGGTCAAGTTAGTAACAGGCTTCCCCTTTGTTCTAAATCTTTTCATAATCCTTTTTTTTCCAATTTTTCCAGTATGGCCTGGATTTTACAAACAGCCTCTTTCCTGGCCTGTCGGACAGAGTCCTGGCCCCCAGTTTCAACTGAATCCAGTTCCAAAAGTTCCTTGGTTAGCATCTCTTCCAGAAGCCAGTATGCTTTGTCTGTCTTTTTTCCTACAAACTCTTCTACTTCTTGCTCAAGATACTGGACCTTCTCCAGCACTTGTATTATTTTTTTAATACTTGGAGGAGTACCTTCATCTGCAGACAAACACTCTTCAGGAAGATTATTACTTTGCTCTTGATTGCTGGGTTGTTCATTGGTGGCATTACCATACAGCTGAGGCTCAGCACTATACTGGACTTGGGTATCCAAAAGATCTGAATTATCACTGTTCATTGTTCCTGACGACTCGTACTGATGGACATTGCAAGGAAAGGTGTGCCGGTTCATGCCTTGATCTGATTGGCTATAGGGGTATGAGGAATCCTTGAGGTGGGAGAGCAAAGAGGGGAAAAAAGCTGTTTTAATGGGAATCCATCAGCATCAGATGTTTTAGCCCACATCTTTCACCTGACCAGAAAGGTACATAAAAAGATTCCCCACCAATAAAACTAGACCTCCCTCATTAATGATTTAAGAAAAACACAGCCCCAAAAAGATAAAAGGGAGTGTGCCCTGTCAAGTAAAAGGCAGAGAATTCCTGAGTATAACAGCTGAAATCTACCCAGAGCAGTTCATCGTCATGAACACCTCATAATCTACCCTTACTACCTCATAATCCACTGAGTGACTTACTAAATAGAAATTAGATAATTTTGCTCATAAAGAGTTACAACCTTAAGACAGATTTTGAAAAGGAACCTAGTCATAAGCAAATGATGTTAAAGTCTTTGGTTTAATTAAACTATACAATTTCATACTGTTTTTGTCTTCTATCTACATATTGAAGTAATAAAATACAATCTTTGGTTTTGTTTAACAGATAGTATAATAACAAATAGTAAATGGGCTGTCTTTTAGGAAGAGGATGTGAGCATAAAACTGCTCCAAAAAAATAAAGTTTTTTAAAAAGGAAACTGGGCTATAAGTAAAGCTATAGGTAGTAGTCACCAACTTTTTGCAATTAGTTCCCACTTAACTGGACCAATGCAGAAGAGTTTCATGTTGTGCTTTCTTAACTACCCAAACATAAGAACAACATTTAGGTCTCCTACCTTGGGCTGCTGGGGTGGTGGTGACGGAGGTGTCTGAGGAGAGCCACTACTAGGCCATGGTGAAGTATTGTCACTCATGTAAAGATTCCCAGGTGGTGCCGAGGGCGCAGGTGAAGGCCAGGGGTAACGGGTTCCCATTCCATAAGCACCAGGAGAAGCCCATGAGTCCTCCTGTGGTCGTACGGATGGTCCCGGTTGTGGAACACTACGATTACCATCCCCATAAGGATAAGGGGGCAGGCTCATTCCAGGGTTCTAGATTGAAAGGAAGGAAATATGCTAGTCATTGCTTTAAAAAAACATAAAAGTAGTAATGAAAAAATATTACTATTAACAGATTCTGAAATGCTTCCTCTCTCCTTAATAGAGTACATTTTAGCTACTACTGAGCTGAATTATAGTTTCTCTGATCAACTGTAGTAAATTCTCCAAGCTTAAAAATGCTTGATTCCAAAGATACCAGGGGCAGATTTGTTGCCAAACTCAGAAGAAATAGGACCTAAAATTCAAGGTCTAAAGCACAACATAAGTCTGCCCCACACATACTATAAATAAGTAGACCCATATACTATAAGGTAGCAGAAACAAAGACATATTTGTGGATGAAGAAGGGGCCACATACTAAACCTAACAAACTCAGGTGAGGCCTACATGGTGAGCCTTAAGACTCAGAGACCAAAAGTAATGATATAAAATGGTCTGAAATTAAAACTAACTAAAAGTGAGTCTTTGTGGGTAGTCATGTCCTAGGCTGGTATCTTCCTTGACAAAGGTCAACCTTTAACTTAATTGAGCCTGTCTATTGTCTTTTAGCATCTATGATAACATACTTTTGGAATGTCAGGGTAATTTCCTTTTTTCTAGACCCCTTAGGGCACAATCTCCCACCAGAACACTAGACCACAGAACCCCTGGTTGTTACTTTGTTCTCCGGCACACCATCTCTATGTGCTGCAAATGTTAACTGTGTACTATCCTGTATCCGCCAATGTAAAAGAAGTATTTGTCTCTCCATTTTATTCTTTATCCGATCCCAGAGGTTTCCTCAATTTGCTTTCTCCTGTCTCCCTAAGCTACCACCAATGGAGTTCATGTAACTCCCTTACGTCTCCTCCTTTGATTGTAATGTATAACTTAACATGCAAAAGTATCATTTTCTGGAGCATTTTCTCAATCTGTTAATATTTTGCTTCCCAGCAACTGTTGTCAGTTTGGCTCAAATAAACTCATAAAAATTCTCTAAGGTTTGGATGTTTCTTAAGTCAACATATTAGAGCTCCTCTTATAATGAGCAGAGAAGTAAACATGGAATCATTCACAAAATATTAAGAACTATAAACCCAACAGAAAAATGCTCACCTGTGAAGCAGGATATCCTGGAACCTGCGCCCTAAGAGGAAGTGCTTCAGTCTGGCAGTCCTGCTGGGGATACATCCAACGAGAGACTGGGGTTGGGCTACTGCCAGGTGAACGGTAGGTGCTTGGAACCTCTGTGGAGTAACTGGTCTGAGAATATCCAGGTGTGTAATAAGCCCCAGAGTATGGGGCAGTATTTGCCCCAGGGCCAGTGGGGTATGGTGAGCCATATGCTCCATTTGTATAAGAATTCAAACTCTGTAAAATAAAGAAAAGAGAAAAAAAAAAAGCAAAGTTGAGAGGAAAAAAAGATGAGTTTGAGTTGAAATGCCCCGACTTAATGCCCAACTTTTAAAACTTTGGGAAGAAGAGATCAGTAACTAATGAAAATATGAACTACTAAGCAATCTTTGAAGCATTCTTTCATATATTATAATCACAAACCATATATTAAATTCAGATTATCACTGTAGAGTTTGTGTCATAACAATGGGAGAGTATATTGTGATGAGATTCCTTAGAGCAGTGCTTCCATTCTGAACATTTCCATAGGTATACCTAACAATTAGACCTAACAGCAGTGGACTTGTACTCACGAACTGGGGAGAAGATTCTGGGAAACATTGGAGAATGGCTAGAGAAAAAATAAATAATCGTGATACAATACAAAGAAAAAAAAGACTACAGAGACAGACCTAGCTCTGCCAGAGGCTCTGTACATATAAGATCATAAACTTATTTTACAGGGTTTTTGTGAAAATTAAATGAGATGACATATAAAATGCTTAATATAGTATCTGACATGTAGTATGGTCAATAAATGGTAATTATTTATAATGTCATTGTTGTTGGTATCATCATGGCAAGGTCAGAAAATGAACCCAGATGTGACTCCAAAGCTCATGTTCTTTGTACTATGCCATTCTGCTTCTCACGTAACAGCAGACGAGACAAATTACTCATTTATTGCTTATTGTAGTTTAAAATCACCTATCCAAACTATTACTGACATCCAGAATCCTGAGTTTAGTAATCCAAACAAATCTAAACTCTAAATTTAAATAATTACCTTAATATTTTCTATTATTTTCCACTTTACCTTTTCTAAATGGTAAAAACATAGAACTGTTTTCTGGTACTCATCATTCTCGCTTAGACTACATAATCTTTCCCACTTTAGATAGAAGAATAAGAATCCTGTTATGTTATCTAGACTTATTATGGTGATCACTTCATAATGTATACAAATATCAAATCATTATGCTGTACTCCTCAAACTAATATATTTGTTACACCTAAATAAAAAAAAGAATCCTGATAACTTTTTTTATCTGTTTTTATTGATTTTTTAGAGAGAGAGGAAGGAAGAGAGAGACATAAACATCAATATGAGAGACAAACATCAATCAGCTGCCTCCTGCCCTGGCCAGTTTTGCTCAGCGGTTAGAGCTTCTACCTGCGGATCAGAGAGTCCCAGGTTCGGTTACCGCTAAGGGCATGTACCTTGGTTGCAGTTTGGCCCCAGCCCCGGTTGGGGTTGTGTGGGTGGCAACCACTCAATGTGTCTCTCTCACATAGATGTTTCTCACTCTCTCTCCCTCCCACTCTATCTAAAGATAAATGCAAAAAAAAAAGTCCTCATGTGAGGATTAAAAAAAGAAAAATCAGCCACCTCCTGCACGCCCTCCGTTGGGGATCAAGCCCAAAACCTAGGCATGTGTCCTGACTGGGAATCAAACCGGGACCTCTCAGTCCATGGAACGACGCACAATCCACTGAGCTACACCAACTGGACAAATCCTGATAATTTATACAGCTGTTAATGACTGAAGAAAATGAAATTCAAATTTGATTCCTAATCTAACATCAAAAAGAGGGTTAAAACAATGTAGAGAGAAGTCATAATACTGTGGAAAAGAACTTAAATCCCTAGTCATACTTTTATGGCAAGAAGATAAAAGACAGGCTATCATCACCACATGCCTGGGAGTAGTTCAACTGAAGATCCCAGCAAGGCATTCCCTGAGTAGGGACTATGAACCATCCTTTAGTAAAGCCATTAGGAGGCTGTTAAAGTCTTCTGTCCATGGGTTGCTGTGCCTAAACAAAGAATCCCTTAATACAACATACACAGCTGGAGACTTGATAAAACATCAAGTGACTTTCTGTACTGTTATTTTATTTATTTTTACAGAAAGAAAAAGCGAAACATCGATGTGAGAGCATCAATCAGCTGCCTCCTGCATGCCCCCTACCGGCAATCAAGCCCACAACCTGGGCATGTGCCCTGATTGGGAATAGAATCGGCAACCTTTTGATGCGGGGGACAACAATGCCCAGCTAACTGAGCCACACCGACCCAGGCCTCTGTACTGTTATTTAACTTCTAAAAATCCTTCCTAAGAAAATGATTCAACTAGAGAAAAAGTTATAGGCATAAATTTGTTCACCACAGCATTATTTATAATTATACAAAATTTAAAACAACCTAAATGTCCTATAATAATGGAATGATTAAGTAATTGATAGAATTCATTGAGGGAATTTTATTCTGCCTTAAAAAGTCACTATTAGCCTGTCCAGTGAGGCTCAGTTGGTTAGAGAATCGACCTGTGCAATGAAAGGTTACTGTTCAATTCCTAGTCAGGGCATGTACCTGGGTTGTGTGCCAGGGAGTGTACAGATGTACAGAAGGCAACCAATCAATGTTTCTCTCTCACACAGATATTTCTCTCTCTCTAAGATATATCCTTGGGTGAGAATTAAAAAAAAAAAAAAAGTCACTGTTAGAACTGAACAGATTATTGAATGATACTAAAGAATTACTTTTAGGTTTTTTTCTTTAAGTTTTAATAATGGCATTGTGGTAATGCTTTTAAAACTTTCTTATATTTAAAAGATACATTCGGCCCTGGCCAATTTGGCTCAGCGGTTAGAGCATCGACCCGCGGACCAGAGAGACCTGGGTTTGATTCCCAGTAAGGGTACATACCTCAGCTGCAGTTAGTCCCCAGCCCCACTTGGGGTCATGCGGGTGGCGACCAGTCTGATGTGTCTCTCTCACATCGATGTTTCTCTCCCTCTCCCTCCCTCCCTCTCTCCCTCCTGCTCTATCTGAAGATAAATGCAAAAAAAAAACAAAACAAAAAAAGACACATTCATATATATAAGTAAAATAATATGATGTCTGCAATTTGCTTCAAAATACTCCAAGGATATAAATGAAACAAGATGGCCATGTATTGATACTTGTTGAATCTCAGAGATGGGTACATAGGAGATTAACATGGAAAGTACATATAATAAGTGAAGTCATATAAGAAAGTGCATATACAATAAATTTAAAGCTATGTAAACGTGATAGGGAAAAGGCCGAAAGAAGTCTACCAATTTATGGATATGTTAGTGTGGGAAAAACAACTTTCTTCACCTTTTAAGTTCTTCTGGCTGGACTAATAAACTAACATGAGACAGACAAACAGAAGAAAATAACAAATTACATTACATATGTACATTCATGGGTTCCATAAGAATATGAAATCCAAGGTCACACTGTGCAGTTGAGGTTTATATGCCATTCTGGACTAAGGAGAGGAAGAAAGGGGTCTAGTATTTCAAAGGGAAAATAGGCAATTTACAAGTAGATGAGAAAGAGGAAACGTGGTAAACAAATTCTTGCCAGGCCACCCAGAAGCAACAGGACACAGAGGAGAATCTAACAGAGAGACTTCCGTGGATCCTCTGTCTGTCTGCCACACTTAATTCATATATGCTAAGGTAAATAGCTAAGAGAATAGCTCCCATACATTAATTAAGCAGGTTTTTCTATCTGAATTCCTTTAGACAAGTAAATGGGAGTGTCAAAGGTTTTTCTGAGTCTTTTGTTTCTTAAAAATAACCAGCTTCATTGGCAGGTGTGGCTCAGTGGATTGAGCATCAGCCCAAAAACCAAAGGATTGCAGGTTCAATTCCTGGCCCTGGTCAGGGTGAGTGTGAGAAGCATCCAATCAATGTTTCACTCTCACATGGGTATTTCTGTTTCTCTCTCTCTCTCTTCCCTTCCTCCCCTTCCCTTCCTCCCTTCCACGCTCTAAAAATCAATGGAAAAAATACCCTCGGGTGAGGATTAACAAAAAATAAAAATAAATAAAAAATAACCAGCTTAAATAATCAATATACCAAAAGGACTATTTTGGAGTGACAAATTCTATTTTCCCTCATTAGGATAATAGAATTAACAATGGTTCTTTTTCCCTTTTATTTTATTTATTTTTTTATGCTATTAAAAATGTCATGAGCCCTGGCTGGTTTGGCTCAGCGGTTAGAGCATCGGCCTGTGGTCCAGAGACACAGGTTCGATTCCCGCTAAGGGCACGTACCTCGGCTGCAGTTTGTCCCCGGCCCTGGTTGGCTCGTGCGGGTGGCAACCACTCGATGTGTCCCTTTCACATCGATGTTTCTCTCTTTCTCTCTCTCTCTCTCTCCCCCCCCTCCCACTCTATCTGAACAAAAAATGGAAAAATGTCCTCGGGTGAGGATTAAAAAAAAAAAAAGTCATGAAATCCCAAGTGTGTCTAGAATCCAGTAGGCTGCTAGGACCACAGCTACTTCATTGGTATTCAAATAGAGTATTTTAATGATGACAGCTCACTGTGATTAGCTATTTGTCAGCTGATATGTCAAGAAATGAAATCTGAAACTGAAGAATTAAATAAAATCTTTTGTGTGTGTGTGTGTGGTACGTGCCCCTAGCAGGAACCGAACCCGGGACTCTCTGGTCCACAGACCGACGCTCAACCACTGAGACAAACTGGCCAGGGTCTTTTTTCTTTATTGATATTAGAGAGAAAGAGGAAGAGAGAGGGAGAGAGAGACAGAAACATCAATGAGAGAGAACATCGACTGGCTGCCTCCTGCATGCTCCCCACTGGGGCTTGGCCCACAACTCAGGCATGTGCCCTGACCAGGAATCAAACCAGCGACCTCTTGGTGCATGGGTCAACGTTCAACCACTAAGCCACACCAGCTGGGCTAAATAAAATCTTTGAGAGTCATTTAATTTCTGTAAAGTTCTCATTTGGATTTCAGAGGAAATCAAGGGACTGGAGCTCTTTAAACTCAAAGAAATTCCAACTGCTGCTCTCATTCTAGATGTAAATATACACATGACTCAGCATTCAAAAATCAAACTAATGTCACACCCGATGGCATCGCACTGCAAGCTAAAGATTATCTAGTATGAAATACTTCTTCCAAAA